AGTGGCCGCAAGGACGCGGCTTCTGCAGTTGTTCTGGCACTTTGTCGTCGGACGGGCTTTGGAAGGTGTGTGAGACTGCCCCAGCCAGACATGCGTTTGCAAGCTCTACATAAATGCCACATGCTTGCAGCCATGCTGCAGTGAACCTGATAGATTGGTCGTCGTGAGGTGTAACCTGACCCCACGCAAGACAAGTGCCAGCCCGCAGTGCTGAGTACAGAGGGCGGACGTACCGGAAGTACTGGACGAGTCCATGTCATCCAGTGCGAAGGGTTAAGGGCCAAGAGCAGCCTGGTGCAAAAAGGTTTGTATAAGCCCACCACCGTCTAAAGCCCAGGAGGACCTTCCCTCCATAGCGATCGCTCGAGCCTCGGCGAGCAGGGACGCCGACCCTCGTTTCGTGGAGGCGAGAGGGCACGCAACTTCAGTCAGACCTTGGGATGTTCACCCTTATACAGTCCTTACTAGGGATGATAGCACCCCCTATTCTACTCCCCATTAAGGACTGTTAGTCCTTAATGAGAATCCCTATTAAGGAGCTGTCAGTATAAGGGGGGGGAACATCCCAAGTCAGACAAGCAGTGCCAGCTAGGAGGCCCTTCCGTTCGCTTCTGTGGCAGGCCATGGGTGGCGACAAGCTCCTACAGGAGGCCAGGGGTTTAGGGTTGAGGGTTTAGGGTTTAGGGTTTAGGGGCGGGCCCCTGCAGTGCAGGTATGAACCTGTGAGCCTACACCTACCACGGAACATCACAGAACTCTAGCCTTTGTGCCCCGAGAGTTTGGGGCCTCGCCTGCTACTGGCGCTCCCAGCAAATGCCTTTCAAGTCCGAGAGCGCGTCGGATCATGTAGCATTCCCCAGACATCCCCAATCCGACATTCAAAGACCCTGCAATCCTTATACAATCCAGCAACCCAAGCCTGACACCCACTAAGGCCCCAAACATCCCTCAACCCTAGACTATACAAGAAAGCCCTACACCCAACAATCCTCAACCCTGAACCCCAAACCTCGGGATCCCCGCGGAGTGGTCCAGCTATGCGGGTCCCTAACCCCAATCCCCCAAAAAACCTAGACAGCCTAGCCTAACGACAAGACCACAAAAACAAAAAGCAAAGGCCCACAAGATCCTCCGAAGCGCCGCTGGCAGTGGCCGCCTTGGCGCCGCATCGCGGTCAAGGCCTTGGGGGTTGGGGGTTGCAGTTATTTAGGGTTCAGGGTTTTAGGGTTAACAGAAAAAAGGAACTTCGGTTGTAGGGTTCGGGGTTTACTAAGAGCACTGCGTTCAGGCCGGTTTATTTCCAGTGGTTCATATTTCGGTCCCACTGCTTTGTTCGTCCAGCTGGCACATGAACGCGATGCTGCCGTAATTCGAGCCCTTTCCTTCTGCTTGGCTGTTGTTTCTCCTGTGTCTCGCATCTTCCAGTCATTCATGGATTCAGATGTGTGGTCACACGTTGACATTCGATTGTCTCATCGATATTTGTAAGGCCCCAACCTTGTGTGCCCATCTTCTCATGCAGCATTGCTGCAGTCAAGGACGACTCTGCTAGCGATGGACAATGTTTTTCTGCCTGCCAAGCTTTTCTGCATGGGAGAAGCACCAGTACAGAACCACCTCCAGCCCTGCAGAATTCTCTGTCCCAAATGCCTGAACCTTTACGCTGCCTTGCGCCCTGGCTTGAGCTTGAGAAAAAACTGGTGCCAGGAGTCGCAGCAGGAGGCGGAGGCGTGAACGCAGCGCTTCTGCCTCGCGCGACCGGGGTGGCCCCCGCCCCGGCGTCATTGCGAAACCCACAAGCAACATCTTTAACGGAATGTGGGTGTAAAATCAGCCCATCCTGGTAAATCGCATGTCTTTCGTCCCCCTTTTAAGGCTCCGCAAGCGGGACCTCTGCCCCTGACATCCCGAACCCTCATCACCTTGTTGCCCAAGTCAAGATATCTCATCTGCCGACATGTGATCACACTTGATTGATCTCGGAAGAGTTTCAAGGATGGCAGGAGTGGGAATCCAGAGCGTTCAATTTTTTGAACAGGTCCAGGGCAAAAATCCGGGTTGCGAACCCCAGCACGCCCTGCAAACCCATCGAAACCATCTAAGGTCGCAAGCCTCCCAACACCCGCTCCAGTGGCTCCTACCGTTGCTGGGCATTTCGGATGTTTGGGGTTTGGAGGTTGTTTCAGTTCCCCTCTCTTTCAACTTGGGTTTGCAACTTATTCTGGTTGCGCCTGGTTCCAAGGACTGTGGGGACAGAGCCCAACGTGTTCCCTTTTCGCTGTCCAAGCAAAGACTTGTAGGGTTGGTTTTGGGGTTTACGAAGGGCTTCTTGTGCCAGTTTGTGCCAGTCTCAAAAAACTGCCGCCCAAAGCGTCACACCTCGGCAGTCTCCAAGTCCGTGCATCGACCTCTGCGTACCAGCAAAACCTTTGAAACCAAAGCCTCTCTCATTGCAGCGAACCCTCAATCCTAAACCCTGTGTGCCTGCTCTGCTTGGCGGGTGGCAAAGAATCCTGTGTCCCTTTGGTGTTTCAAGGGGCTCTTGGGGTGAACTTGTCAGCTTTGCTTAGATGTTGACTGTGCTGCATCGCAGCCATATCTTTCATAGAATTTCTCACGAGAGCTTTTGGCTTCAAGGTTTTGCACGAAGCGCTCTGAGGGTTATTCTCTGAAGCGGCTACAGGACCCCACATGTCTTACATAGGCTTCGCCTTCCTCCCTTAAATCCCAACTAAACCTGAAGCATCATGAAGAACACTCAAAACCCCGAATCGGAGCGGTTTAGAAAAAGGTGTTCTCGTAAGTTCGGTGCTGTACAAGGGGCCTTAAAGCAGTTACTTTGGTGCTTTAGTTTTGCACTGCCTGTGTTCAGTGCTCCAGGAACAGGAGGGTGAAATGCTGAGCCCTGAACCTTGAGAACCCCCCCGCAAGCTCTAAGCCCTATAGAGCCAACAACCAGATCAATCCTGGAGCCCTGCAACCGTCCTTGCCTGCTGCGTGCCAGTGTGAGAGTCGAAACCCCTAACACCCTGTAACCCTGAAGCCCTAGAACCCTAAGCCCCTAAAACCGTAAAAGCCCGATATCCCGAAACCCCGACAACCCTCAACCCGAAACTCGAGAACCCTAAAACCCCAAACCACAACAGCCCCAGAAGCCTCAACTGCCCCAAAATCCTGCAGGCCCTAAATTCCTGCACCCTAAGCGACCAGAGGCTCCCCGACGCCGGATGGAAGGGCCCGCGGCCAGGTCCGGTCGAGGGCATGGGATTCAAAAAAAGGTTGTTGGGATTTCGGGAGGTTTGATCGGACTTACATATTCTCTAACCTCAAAACCTAAGCCAAAGGAGGGAGAGTTCCCGTTTGAGGTTGGGAGTGGGGCCGAAAAGTCTTTTGTCTATATCGGGCTCAGGCCTAGTAGGGTTCTGGGCTGTGGGTCGGTTGTGTTAGCACCTCCCTGACAGGCACGGGCGGCAAGAAAGGCGAAGATGCCACTCGGCTGAGCATGCGGAAATCACCTCAACCCCAAACCCTAAACCCTCAACCCTCAACCCTAAACCCTAAACCCTAGCCCTAAACCCTTCACCTCACGCAGCTGAACATGGGCGTTTTAGAAAGGCAGCGCAGTGGTACCCTCTCGCCCCAGCTTGCATGTTGCGGCTTCCCCTCCCCTGCTTATACAGAGACCACCACCCAAAAGGGTACCCTTATTGTAATATGGTTATCGGATGTTATCGGTCTACCAAGGAAAGCTTTGGCAAAGCAAGGCATCCAAACTCAGAAAATACAGGCCAGATTCAAAGCACACTGACAAACGAAATCATAATATCTGCCGAAACCAGATCAGACAGCTGAGTAGAACAGATGCGTCGTGCCACCGTTGTTGGGCGCCAGGGCCTAGCCGCTAGGGTTCTTCATCGTGTTGAAAGGTTTGGGCTGCTTTGGGTGTTGGGATTTAGAAGCATTGTGAAGGGCTCGGGACTACTCGGGTGTGGGGGCTGCAAAGTTTTTCAGACCCTAGGGTTCGAGACTTGGTTTGCCTAAGACCATTTCTTTCCTGAGCACATGCCCAGGATTGCCTCACTGATGGGCATCCGATAATGTCTCTGCCGGCATCCCTGCAGCTGAGCCCTTATGCCATAGGCTTTGCTTAGAGCCGGTTGCAGCTTACTAGGCTTAAGATGTTTACCAAGTTCGCTTCCCGGGTTCAGTCGGACCGGGTACCTCCGAATTGGCAGAATAAGCACGCAACGAAGCCCGGAGATTCCTCGCCTTTCAGCTTTGCGGCCCTCACCCGCCCCCCCCCCCCCCCCCCCAACGACGAAGCTGCGGGTTGCTCGTTAGTGCCCCGAACGCCTCGTGACTCCGCGAGGCTCGTGCGCGAAAGAACGGGAAGACTAGAAAAGTGCGTGCGCTTGCGGGGGCTCTGGAGCTGAAAGCGTTTGGAGATAAAAGGACATGAATTCTCCTGAGGCCTCTCTACACATAGGATTGTAGAAGTTCCGCCATGCAAACTCCTTCCCATCCCCCCGCCCCGGCCCAAAAGATGGAGCTCACTGTAAGAGGGCTTCTGTCCGATACCATCCTCCCAATGATCATGACTCTTCGTGGACTCGTCACCTTGGAATCGGTCTTGAGCCTTTTTGAAGCTCTCCGGAATTGGGTTCCAGGAGGTTGGCCTTGGAGTCTGTGTATGATTGTGTATGCTGTCGATGCTGCCCAAGGACGTCTCAGTAGAGTCCTTGCAGCAAGCCTGGCCCGAGATAAGTTTCATGTGTGGAGGGCTTAGGGATGGTTAGGGCTTCTTTGGTTTTTGACACCTGGACCCCACACATGAGATTACGTACTTGAGCAACGAAGCCATGAACGGAAGGCCCCACCCTGCGTACCCCATGACCGTTGACGGCCACACGAAAGCCTGAACCCTCAACGCCTGCGGCACTCTGAGGATAGTGTCCACTTTCTTCCCAAGGGCCTCAGGATCCACAAAGAGTGTTTGGGCCATGGAAGGGAGGAGTCCCAGCTGCCTGGAAGCGGAGGCCGAGGTGGCTCTGGGCACACCGCTGTCAAGCCCGAAATCCCCAACTCAAGGCATCTTCAAAACCCGGCCTGCCGAAAGCGAAGGTACATGAGCTCCACCCCCTCCTCGGTCCCTGCAGGAATTGCAAAAGCTGTGTCGGACTCTAAAGAAAGCACCTACCGTCACAAAGCCTATGCTATTCTCTTAGAGACCTGACTCCGAAGTGGAGGAGCTGACCTCCGAGGCCAGCTTGAACTCGGAGGTGGCACTGGCTTTCACGGGGGTTTGGATTTCAGGGATTACTGGCTAGTCTTGAGCCGAGCAGCAAAAAGGGTTTAGGGGCACGTCAGAAAGTCCTGGAGCAAAACAAGGGTACATTTCTGTAGGGTAAGAGGGGCTCAGGGCAGGGTCTTGGGAAAAAAGGTTTGACGTGCACGGCCAAGGGCACCCTACAGGGCGGTTCCCATGGGTCACTGGTCATGTTCGAGCCTGTCGCCACAGGGAATCAAGGAATCAGGGGGGCTGCAGCTGTTGGACTGCGAGTCAGCTCTATCACAAGGGCCGCAAGGCCGTCCAGAGGTTCTCAACATTACATTTACATATTTGTATACATATTGCATAAGTATGTGTATATCAATATATATATATATATATGTATAATATATGTAGACAGTAGCCGATGGTCTTTAATCCCCGGCCTGGCTAGAAAATACCTCTTAGAAGCCAACAGTCAATGCCCCAACCTTGTCTGTCTGTCTGTGTGTCTGTCTGTCTGTGTCTCTGTGTCTGTGTCTCTGTCTTTCTCTGTGCGTGTGTGTTTTAAGTTTCGGGTGCCGGGATTTGGGTTCAAGGAGTTTCCCCCGCGAACTGAAGAAGGTGTCCCGAGCCCTGGCGACGGCCTCCGGCGACGAAGTCGCCGATGGCAGTCCCGAGGATTCCCTGGAGGACGAGCACAAACCACGCGGGATCCGTTTGGAGAGTTAAGATCATTTGGAGGGAAGACCTTTGAGGTCAACAATTCCTTCGTACACGAAGTGTGAATCCAAGGTACAGGACTTAACTGAACGTGACAGCTCGAGAGTTTGCAGGGCGGCGTATCTAGCTGGTTTCGCATTATACCGCATGTCTACCAAGACTACTGGTGGTGCAGCTTCACTGTCGAAGGGCATGGGGCCGATAGGGTGGAAGGCATCCTAGGCAATGCCTGGCACAGGATTCCACAGATGACGGTCTCAAAGATAGACCGAGCTCGGATCTCAAGCTGAGCCCTTTGCGGAACGACGTTCAGGCTCGTGTGGGTGAATCTGTTTTGCGGGTTTTGTTGGGGTTGAAGGGTCATTCAAAACCCCGAAAAGGAAGCTCCTTCAGGCAGGATAGAGGAGCGGAGGGGGTTATAGAGAGCGCAGCGCGGTCCCCCCCCAAAGTTCAAAGCAATGCACCCAATCAAGCCGGAAGCTCCACACCCTACTCCTAGCGTTCTGCCTTCCTAAGTCTTTTAGTCTTACAAGCCCTACATGAAGGTTCTGTCGGGGATGTATGTAGGTTCTGTTCGGGGGTTACAAGAGAACAGGAGATTAGTCTTAGCTCCTGTCCTCTGAAACCCCTCATGTAAAACATCCTGAGCGGAGGCCTCCTCGCTTTGCTCCCTGCTCCGTGCAGCCTCTGCTGGTACCTCGCAGGGCCTGAAGTTCGCAGAGGCAAGGAGCCTGCAAAACCCACCGCCTCCCTAACTATGTGCATCACAGCATACATGAATGTTTTACATGGTCTGTACTAGTCCTATGCGAGAAATGCAGATAGAAACTCTGTCTGGTAAAGGGAGGGTTAAGGGGTGTTGGCGGTTTAGGGAATCTGGGAGGATGTGTAGTTGTCAGGACCTAGAGCCTGCCGTGTGGTCCCTGTAGCGGTAGTCACGGTGCAAGCTCCTCCGGAGCAGTGCTGCAGAATTCATGTGGCACCAAGCGGACAGAACTCATTTCGTTGAATGGCTTGTTGCGCACATTGCACAAGCACCCAAACACACAAAAACTCAAACGCACAAACGCACATACACGCCCAAACCTCCCCGCCCCCCAACAGAGCTTCAGCCGCCATAGCCTTGAAGCCTGAAAACCACGGGCCCTTATACTTATGGCACTCCAACACGAGGCTTCAGAATCGGTGGAGAGATGTACCCCACAGTCGAAGCCCTGAAGGCCCGGATCGGCCCGTGGGTGGAGGAGGCCATGCACTGGGAGCCCAACCAGCTGCTTGCAGGCTCAAGGGCTCCGAAACTAGAGTGATTTGTGAACTGAGGGTTTAGAACAAAGGGTTTAGGGTGAAAAGAGGGTTTAGAGAACAGGGCTGCCCGGGTTTCGGGGGGTTTTGTTTGCCACATTGTTTTTTTTTGGAGGGGAGGGGTGCTTCTTTAGGGCTTCAAGTCTTTTTTGCTCAGGGTTTGCCGTCGGTCTGAGGGGGCTTGTTTGCAAAGACTGCAGGGCACTACAGGGTCCAATTTGGCCGAGGCTTCCTCGATGGGAAAGTTGTACCCTGCAGGAGCGGTGCACTTTTCCTACTTCATGCTCTTCGCTTCCCTCTACACCCAGCTGCCGGGCCTCCACGGACCTCAGGGAATTGATCCCTACCACTTATCCAAAGGCCATGGTGGGCTTGACTTGTGCTTCGGGTCTAGGAGTGAGGACCGGGATGAATGCAGTTGTAGTGTGAATGAGAGATTGTGGGCGCGGGGGGGGGGGGGGGGGGGGGGGGGGGGGTGAGGAGGGAAGGAAGCAGCCTTGCGGTCGGCGTGCAGCATGTAAAGCACAGAGGCTGCAAGACCAAAATCGTACAGCTTTTGGGTCGTTCAAGCTTGGGACCTGGGACGTTGACAAGTGCGTCACACCCTGGAGTGCAAAAGCACCCTCAAAATCAGAAGCCCAAAAAAGGAACCCAGAAGCAACAGCAAAAGGCCTCAATGACAGTCTCCTGCTCCGGCACGGACGCCGAGGGCGCTACTGGGCTGCGGAGCCTCCCGGCCTTTAAAGCGAGGGCACCCAACGGATTTTACTGTGCAAAAATGCTGGAGTTTCCTTCGATACAGCAAAAGCAACTGCTTGCTCCTCAGCCAGAATACGGGTACATCGTGAAGAACTTGGGCTCCTTATTTTGCTGAATTAATTCCAGCTTCCTTCCCAGCAACGCAGACAATGGAGAGCCTTCTTCAGAGTCCAACCCTAACCTTGGGATCAGATGCCCCTGTTCCCAGATGCCCCCACCCATCCTAAACCGAAACCTTCAACCCTCAACCCCTAGGCCCGGGGCGCCCACCCACTTTGAGATGGAAGGGCTGTGGGGAAGTATGCGCGTGATTCATGTGATTGTGTACGCAGAGAGGCTAAGAAAAAGCCCGGATCTGTGAACCGTAGACTGCCAGGTTGGCGATGGAGACCGTAACTGAACCCCCGAAAAAAAAGCAGAAGAAGTACCAACACCCCCCAGGCCCCCTAACAAAAAAAGAGAAAATCCAGCAGAAACCAAAGCCCTCTAGCCCACCCAAACCCTAGACCCGAAACCCTGGAACCCCCTTGTACCTCCAGCGCCTGTTTCTTCCCTGAAAATTCACAGGCTCCAAAACGCGAAACCCTGAAGCCCTCCAAGATCAACTGTAGCCAGGCTCGCTGCGCTACTGGGCCTGGGCGCGTCTGGAGCCGCAACGGCGCTGCCCGCCTCTCGACATTTGAGGGTTTGCGTTTTAGGGGGTTGGGGGGTTTGAAGCCGGTGGAAGTCTCATTCATGGCATCGGTCGTCTAGCTTTCTGTTTCCCACTTGTTAGAGATGTCGTGTGTTCCAGTCACGTGCCCCTGCTCCCAGCTGAGGACAAAGGTCTGAATTTCCAAGAAGGGCTTAGGGGTTAGGGTCCTTTTCCCTGTCGTCGTCCTCACAGTCGTAGTATAGTAGCCGTCGTCGTCGCAGTCGTAGTAGTAGTCGTTGTAGTCGCAGTGTATGAGCCGTCGTCGTAGTGAGTCACTAGCAGTCGCCGTCGCCGTCGCTGTCGCCCCACCGTCGTCCCACCGTCGCCGCCGCCGCCGCCGCCGTCGTCGTCGTCGTCGTCGAGCAGGATAAGCGTTATGACTCACCTTATCTACAAACCCTATTAACGACACCCCCCCCCCACCCAAACAGTATTGCCAAAACTGGACTGGGGCCATTTTGGGTTCGTATTTCTCGTCAGGCTGTAATTAGTAGGAGTGTTTACTTAAAGTTAGCCTGTAGTCCTGTAGTTCGTTTTTTTGAGATCAAAGCAAGCTCGAGCGTCGAGCAGGAAGTACGACACGGACATCGGGGAGAGAATTCCCGCGAAAGCCCAACACCCGGAACAAATGGTGAACGCACAGGTGTTCAACAGGATGTTCTGTGGCATTTCCCTGTGTGTTTCAACGACAGTAGCTTGTCACTGATTTTTTGTTCTATCCTATGCCGGCGGATTCGCCCAAAAATGCCTTTGGGACTACTCGGCTGGAAGCTACCAGGCAAATGTTTTTTTTCTGCTTTATGCGCTTATGGCCCAAAGACCTCGCCCGCCTAGATCAGATTGCAAAGATGGGACTCGATCTTAATTATATGAACTTCCCAAAAAAAATTGGCAACCTCCCGACAATCCGACAGGGCCCATATTGAGATCAACCGCAAAGGCTCTCCGCAGCGGCTGGACGGGGCTCACTTTGTCTGGTGTGGAGTGGCTTCTGTGGAGAGCGTCTTGACTGCAGGGTGGGTTCAGGGTTTAGGGTCTTCTCTGGAATTCTGCGGGGTGGACTAGCGCATCAGCTTTTACAAGAGATGCCACAAGCTGCTTCTGCTTCGGCACGGAGTTGGTCGTTGAAGTTGATGGTTTGGAGAGGCTCCCCAGGTCGTCTAGGTTACTGGGGAACCTCTCTGATTGGTTTTTGCCTTAAGCGCCTGTTCGGTACGCTTGAAAAAGTGAAAACGTGAAGCAAGAAGCTGGGCAGCGTGTCCATGCGTGGCTGCTCAGGACTTCATGGTGTCTGGGGCATCTTCGTTGCCGGTATCGCCTTGGGACCTCCTTGTGTTTTTTAAGGTGTGAGGCGGAGTATATTCCAAGCATGGATGCAGAAAGCAAGTAGATGGGGGCATAAGACCCAAACAGGTAAGAAGTCGTTGGGACACCGGAGGCTCCCGCTCTAAGGTTCCCCATGGGCATGACCTACCTGGCCATGGAAGGCAGCATTGGTGCCGCAGCCTTCGCTCTGAATGCGCCCAGACTGGCCTCCTGGTTCTGGCGCTGGTGCTTGTTCCGGGGGCTGCTGGCAGGAGGGGCAGAGGAATGCAATACTGAGGGCTTGAAACGAGTTCAGTAGGGCTTGGGCTTCGAGAGATTATAGTCAAACCTCAGAATCAGACTTTGTCCGCATGGGCTGCTGGCAGGTGGGGCCCACAAGCTCCTCTTGTGCGACGCGAGTTGGAACAACCTGTCCGCTGTGCACTGGCACTTCCAAGGCAATCCAAACCCCTCTGCTTTATCCTGGTATGCCTTCCGGCTGACCAGCAGCTATCCCTCCCTGGGGCACCTGGCCACAGCCAGCACATTGGCGATCGAGATGGTGGCGCCCTTCCTGTTCTTCTCGCCCAATAGGGGCTTGCGGATGCTTGGTTTGGCTGGGAATAGCTTGCTGCAGCTAGGCATCTTGGCAAGTGGCGAGGTTGCCTTCAAGTACGCTTTCTTTTTGATGTCACCAAGCAGGTGCGTTTTGTTCTTTTTCCTGTAGGGCTTGGGTGGGAAGGTGGCAACTACGGCCCGTTGAACTTCTACTTCCTGGCGCTGGGTCTATCATTGCTGCAGTCCGAGCGCCGCCGGCAACTGGCCGACACGGATGCGAGCCGTGCAGTAGAAGAAGACACAGCCCCTAGCCATGAAAGTGCTCTATTGTTGCTCTTACTCTTACGGAGCCTATATTGCTGTTGCTGCTATGTCGGCGCTTGCAAGCGGCCAAGGGGCCTGGATTGAGGACCAATCGGGGCAAGCCGGGGTCAACAACATTTGTTGTGGGCTCTGCTTCCCTTATAGAAACCATGGAACAAAAACAAGAGGGGTGCCCATCCTATTCCCTAAGCCCGAAATGTTACTCGACTACTCCTGCACCTGCGAAATTGTTACTTTGAAGTGTGGCTGGCCTCCTCGCCTGGCTTGTGCGAGCGTGAGCGATTGAACCGCAGAACAACCTAATACCCTAAACCCTAAACCCTAAAACTACCCTAACCTATATGCAGAACTGAGATTGCCAGATCAATTTTTCCAGAGTAGCACCAACCATCAACCCTGCCTGCGGTTCGGCCAGCTATGCGGGAGCGAGAAAAAAACCTAACCCCTAAAACCCTAAGTGCAGGTGTGGCCTGCCGCAGCTGTGGGACTGGGCTCGGTTGTGGCCATCGGTGCCGCCACGCGGCTCCTACCCACAAGCCCGGCGACCTGCCCCTGGGCAATGTTCAAAGCCCAGGGAGTTTTCTGGCAAGGTATACCGGGGTTTCACAAAAGCTAGGGCTATCTCTTTGGGGGCTTGTCTATGTTTCAGGGCTGCTCACTTGAGGAGGGCGTTGAGAGTTGAGGGGGCTCAAGTCAGGTCCCAGCGCGGGCCATGCGGTCTACGCTCAGCTCACAGCCTCGTGGACCGAGTTGTCAGGGATGCTTCGGGAAGGAGGGGATGGGGCTTGAGAGCCCTTGGGAGTCGCTGCCAGCATCCCAGGCAAGACAGTGGCGGAGTTTAAGGTCCTTTTCCCTTTGGGGGAGGTTGACGGACCTGTGTGCACGACAATGGGGGGCTTCAAAGCGGAAATGGGCTCACCGAGGTTCCACGCGCTCTTGGGGGAAGCTCCACACTGTAAAGGTCAAGGCAACTCGAAACCTCACATCCTAGACCCGCAAAAAACCCTCGCTTCGAAGCCACAGCTCCCTCAAGACCTCACACCTCCTTAGCTCTATACTTGGGCTTGGCAGCCCAGTGGCACCCTTAACTATAAAGAAACCAGCCCACAAAAGCGGTGCCCTTATTATACTATGGATACTGGGCTACCAAGTGTACTGGAGCTACGGGAGCCATGTGGCCCGAGGCACTGTTGTCCTCCGCCGCCGGGTTCCAAGGGCTAATCTCGCCACCTGACTTCTCCAAGAAATGACGGCTTCCGGGACCCCTCATGTAGACCCCCAAATACTAAGGACCCATATTATAACGACCCCCAATAAGGTATCCCTATGTTCGGAAACCCCAATGTAGGTGGGTTCAGGGCTCGCTTTGGTTGCTCGAGCAGTTTGACCTGCCATCCTGTGGAGCCGTTGCAGTACAAACGATGCTTGAAGGATTGTGAAAGCTCGGGCCTTGCGAAGGCCGGAGCCTAAACATATTGCTTGCAACGGACCCACATAAACCCTCATAGCCAAAATGCCCAGTCCAGTTGTGCAGTCCCCCTCCCCCCCCTGTGTTGAAGTTGAGGTGAGGCTTAACTCTCAGCCGCACTGGGTCACTGTAGGCACCCTAAATTGGTAGTTCTCGAAAATTGGGGCCCGCTTTGGATCCCCTATATACTACGGCACCAAGGACCTTCAGAGGGATTACTGCCACTCTACATGAACCCCCAAACCCCTAGAAGCTCTGATGGCGCTGCAAGGCTGACCTCCGGCCCGGAGCTCGACGCCTGTCAGGAGTAAGTCAGGAGACTTTCGTTCTCTTGGTGTTTTCTTTGTGGGGTGTGCTTCTGAAGGGAGCGCTTGCTTTGTGTTAAGGCGCTTCATGTTCAAAGAAAGGTCGGTTCTGGGGAAGATGAGATCCGCAAGTTCTCGTCGGTGCAGGGGAGGGTCATGTGAGGGGATTGGTAGGGGCAGCTGTAGTTCGACCCGACTTGGCTCTTCCCGTTGATGAGGCAGTTGGGCTGGCCCTGCTGGGTGCTAGCCAGTCCGTCTTCATCTTGGACCTTCTTGGCTGCTTGATTGACGACTGATGGTCTGGTTGTCATAGCTGTTGTTGCTTTTCGAAAGGCGAATTCTGTGAGTGTGTCACAGATGAAGCCAAAACAGATGCAAGCCGGACAGCCAAGGCTACATGCCCCCGCATTCCGAGCTGCTGCAGATCCCGGCCTCATGTTTGTATGCGGCGGGGAGCTACCCCGAGATGCGCAGATGTTGCAGTACCAGCATCATGTACAGTATGAGTTGTCCTGGGGGTTGGCCATAAGCCATGCCTTAGGTGTGCTCCTTTCTGTGATCAACCCAGCTTGGCATAAGGAGTGCTTTGCTCACATCATCCCCGTGGCTGCAGTCCATGTGGGAAGATGCGGACGCGGCCTTTCAGCGGTTTGCTCCTTGGCCTATCCCCTACCGGCTGCAGCGGAGAGGGAGGGGTATTTCAAAAGCCCAGGGGTTCTCAGAGAAGGGTTGCGTTGATATTCCAGCTCCCGAGAGCCCACGGGGTCTTTCACAAGAACCCCCCAATTCCCTCAACTCCAAAAGCGGTGCTCGCAAGGTTGTCCAGCCTGCTTCGACGATCGCAGTAACTTGGCGGCACACAGAGAGCGAGGGATACAGAGCATCACCCCCCTGTATTCCCAGGCGTGAACTCCCTTAAGCCCTAGAACTGCCCAAAGCGAATAGTCGGAAGAGGCCACTCGCCTCTGAGGCAGCCTTGCCCTCGCGCGTCTTCGACCCCCCGCCGAACTTCTTCTCCAACACAACCGGGGTTGAAGGCCTAGGGCCTGGGGCGATGTAGGCCCGAATGCGACGCCCGCCTTTGTGTCGTGTCAGTGCACCATGTTTCAGGCCGTCCAGGCAACCCACAACTGCAACGCCTCTTAGACCTGTCGCCACGTGGAATTGGGATCTCAGAGATTGTGCGAGGCAGGCCTGTCTTCGCCCTCGAGGGTGCCCAGCCGCCCTGACTGCAAGGGAGGTTGAACAGTCGGCCTGTTTCCAGAAGCTCCCAAAGCAGCACTTCTTCGAGCTTCGTGATTTCTGACCTTTGATGCGTACCTGATGGCCCGGGTTGGGGGAAAGTGAGTAGCACTTCCTAAACTTCCGAAATCCCTCGCACCCATCAGCCTATCGAGCTGCATTCGGCCCAGGACCTTCTTCGGGCCCTGGAGGCACATACCAATGAAGTATGTGGACACCTGTCATGCAAAGAGCACAAAGGCTCCAAAAGGCTTGTTCACAAGCTAGGGCTTGGGCTACAGACAGAAGACCTCCCTCACACCTTGCAGAAGCAAAAGAACATAGAAGAATCCAATTTATAGTTTATAGTTAAAGCAAAGCAAGACACTGGCTTCCATGATTCTGTTGATGGAGGTTTCTCGCTAAGATACAGCCCTGCAGCCCCAACCCGTGTGCCCCTTGCCGCCGCCCTCTCCTTGTAGGCGAGTCTTTAAGCTAAAGAGTATCCCGGATGATGGGTTTTACAGGCCTACAGTCTGCTCTTCCCAGCCAGAGCCCAGGATGCCGCCAAGAGCAACCTCACTGCGGCGCCGTGGCCTCATGCTGCGTACCTCGCACCTCGGCAGGGTAGCCTCAGCCATCCCAGAGTCCGCCTAACCTTTTACAGCTAGCCCCCCCCCCCCCGCCCCCACACAAGAAGACCCAAGAATCGAACCCCTGCACCTGTCGAATTGAAGAAGACAAGTGCTCCACTAAAGCCCTAAACCCGACCAAGGATTTGCTCTGGTGGGATGCTCCACATATGGGTGGCAGCCCGGCCTGGCTGTGCCTGAGATTGCATCACGTTGAGTTGGCTCTCGTGGGCTGGGGAGGGTTGAGAAAGCTTGGAAGACTTGATGGCTCTTACTTTTACGCTCACACACACACACACACACACCTACGACGCAAACACGCATGCACAACCTACCTGCAAGGAACTGACTCCTCTCACCATGCAAGGACTTGGATCGAGCAAAATAGACAAACTTTTTATGTACAGTATGAAGCTCAGGAGAACGACAGGTTTGGGCGTCGGAAATAACGCAGCTCTTGCAAGGTCGCGAATGCTTCGTGGCATACTGGATGGGCTTCAGCCAGTGCTGGACTTGATCGACAGGCGGCCAGCTCGAAATCCTGGTTTCGAGTAATTTCAGAGTGAAGCTTCATGAAGAGTCCAGTTTGCGGCTTCCTGAATTGAAATGCGGGGATCCGTATCATAAGAGAGAAAGGGGACCAAAAGATGGGAACCGACCATGCTCAACCCTGTAACTGTAGGCCCTAAGCCTCTGAAACCTGAACTCGGGCATCTCAGCAATCTCCTCCACCACCCCCCCCCCCCCCCCCCCCCCCCCCCCCCCCCCCCCCCCCGCCCCCCACAAGAACGGCTTCATCCTCAACCCCAAAATCCCCAGAGCCTCAGCAAGCTGTAGCCTTGATGCCTGAGAGTCTCCACTGTATATTAGGTTGGGGTTAGTATCAGGGTTCAGGGTTTCGGCTTATGTTGTAGGCCTTGGGGTTGCCGGTGGTGTTGAACGTTTCCTTCCAAGACTTCAGCGCGCAGGCCAGCATTCGAAGCCAGCTTCTTGGTGGCCTCTAGGTAGGCCCTTGGGAGACTGGGTTGAAGAGCGCTTCGGTGTATTTCAAGGCCAAGCAGTACGCCATGTCGCATATCTTTGTTTCAATGCCGGCGTGTGACGCATCATGTGTACATGGCCTGCTTGACACAGAGATGTTTAGATATTTAACAGGGTTTCGTCTAGGGTCGGCTGTACTTGTTCAGCTCGCGAAAATTCAAGTAAAGCAAGCTGATGTCCTAGGCAGCCTAGGCCCCTACCAAGCAATCCAACAGCCAAAGCCCTGTCCAAGCCAATTCCTTCCAGTGTGAGAGTCCACAACCCTGTGCCGAAACCCCAAACCCTATATAAACCTAAAACTTGTTAGGGCTGTGTTGCAGGGTCTTTCGAAAATTTTGACTTCATGGTCTTTGGGCCCGAGCTGGGTGCAGAAGCGTTTGGCTTTTGAAAGCAGAGCTTAGGCTTCTTTGGGGTTTTAGGGTTTAGGGTTAGGGCGCGACTGATGATCACGGTGGATAGACTTGTAATTCGGTGCGTGTGACAGAAGTATCATGCGCCGTTTGTTCTTCTTCCTCGTCAACAGGGCGGGTAGTCCGGCAAGTCCAACTTCAAAGGTTAGTTAGATATGTTCTTACCCGGCTGTGTTCGAAGAGGCCTGGGTGCAAGGGTTCAGGGCTCCCCCCAACCCCGATAAACCCTAAACCCTACCCCAGTGGGTGGGCAGCTGGCCTCACTCGCTGGTTCTGGAATGCGGGAGTTGAAGGGCGATATATGGGTAGCGATGTCCTGAGCTCCCCACCGGGAACCGGTACGAAAACTGAATTCTGCCGCGCGTTTGGCTCACCAGCGTCGTGGGAAGAGCCTCCTTCCCCTCGGACGTAGGGATGGCAACCGGCTTTGGCAGTGAAGTCGAGCCTTGGTGGTTAGGGTATGTTGGGGTTTGCAGGCTCTGGGTTCTTTTCTTTGCGGTTTGGTTCAGGCGTGCAGGTGGAAATTCAGGTCTGTGGTTGTGGGGCCCCTAGCTACACAGGTGCAGGGCGTCGGGCTCATGCTGTACTTGGTTCGACCCGTAGCGTGCTTCGAGGCAACGCAAACCCATGAAAGCCGCCCTCTGCCCTCAAAGCAGCCGAGGAAAGGCTGCTGAAAGTTTTAGAGTCGGAGCTCGTCGCGGCTCATGAGAAGGAGGCGAGGCTGTCATGCGTTGTCATGCCTTGGATGACGCGGGTCAGGGCAGGGGGAAGGGGGAGGGCGGGGCACCGCATGCACCACCTTTTTTGCATCGTGTTCTGAGCCCATTCTCGATAGTTTAGGGTTTAGGAGTTTAGGGATAGGGGTTTGGGGTGTAGAGTTTAAAGTTTAGAGTCTAGCTCTACCAGGGTGCTGTAGCACACGCCTCGAAGGTGGCAGCTCTCAATGCAGAGCAGGCGGGGCAGACGTTCACCGTGCCTGCCTCCTTCAACCAGGTCGGCCATCTGCAAGTTCCGAATCGCTCCAAAAAGCCCCTATTTGTTGCCCTTTTTGTTACCCCTTTTAACCCTAAACCTAAACCAATAAATCCTGGCCATAACCCCAACGCCCTCAAACTGCATGGGTGGTAGTTGCAAAATCAAGCCTCCGAGTCTGCCCAAGATTGGGAGTGTCAGGGTGCCAGGGCGCGCGCATTTTGTAGCATGCGGTGAAGTGGGGGAGTTCTGGGCATTCAGTTCAGGAAGTTTGGTAAGTTTAACGGGTTTCGAGATGAGTAGGTGCAATAATGGCAAGGGCTTCGACATCTTCGGCCTGCGGCTTTGTGATGATTCGCGGGTGCCATAATGCCGTCGCAGAGCACTGTAAGTAGGCATTAGATTCCCCGAAGCCCCTAAAGCCCTATAAACCCTGAACGTACCTAGTTTGTTCTTCCCTCGAGTCGGTGGGCTCAGGTGATGTTGGCTTTGCCTCCAAAGCTCTGTGAGCCCAGCGACTCCAACGGCACCTCGCAGAACCACACGCCGCTAAAGAGGTGCGCGTAGGCTTATCAGGGTGTAGGATTCAGGGTTTGGGGTTTAAGGGTGTCGGGTTTTGGGTTTAAGGGCATAAGGGCTTAGGGGTTGAGGATTCAGGATTTGTTGTTTTTTCGCTCCCACATAGCTGGCCCAACCGTTTGGGTTTTGGGTTTAAGGGCTTAAGGGTTTAAGGGGGGGGTGAAAAATCCGCGGTTGAGAATCGTTGCTGGATCAGCTTTGCTTGCTTCTTCGAAGCTGCATGCACCTGAGAGGTATCAGCCACCGAAGCTCAGTGGGTCGGCGTTTCATTCCGAAGGCTGGAATCTATCCTTGGCAAGCATTGTCGTAGTTGCAGGGAAGGCGATGCTGATGACCTTTAAGGCGCCCAGCTTCTAAGTTGTGATTTGACATCAAGCACTCTTCTTCAGACTGCATATAAAATTTGTCAAGTTTTACCGAGTTGCATAGGCGTAGGTCTTCAACAACCTGTGTTCAGGATCATGCCAGACACTGCAAAAAGACGTGAACTAGTGTGAGGGTAATCAGACCTCTCCATCCATCAGCTCCTTCCAACAGTAGACGCTTGTCCCGACCCAACACCCCAAAGCCAAATAACTTAAGAATGAAGGCTGCCCTGAAGTCGTAGACGCCGGCTCTAGCTCTGCAAAACCGCGCCGTGGATGAGCCTGGCGCATACGCGTGGACAACGCCAGCCACCTCTAGATAGAGTTCTGAGCTGTGCTGCCTGTTCGACTTAGTATGGAAATCGTTCACTACCTCTTGGGAGATGCAATCAGATCACTGTGGCCGCCATGTCGCGCCGCATCTTGTTGCAGCCACACTTTTTTCCCAGTCTACTGTTGGGGTTCTAAATTCATTTAAGGATTGCCGACATTCTGAGGACTGTTGCCGGGTTCCTGGGCTCCTTCTCTCCCTTTGTCTCCCTTCGTCTCCCTTCATGTCGGTGGCTTTGCCGGGTTGCTGTGCTCCTCGACTCTCTTTGTCTCCGGTCATCTCCACTGTTTCTTTGACGTGCCTTTGACTGTTTGGGGTCTTCGGTGGTGTAATTCTTTGCTAACTCAATTGCCGTTATGCTTGCCTGAGAAAGTTCCTAGGATCGTCATCGCAAGTGATGCCATCCCATGCTGGCATGGGTTCATCTTCCTCAGAGCTTATGTCATGTGGGCATTCAGTTCTAACATTCCTCTTCACTGCAGAACACAGTGGGTGGCATCCGTTGAGTCCGTTCGATGCTCATACCACGAAGCTAACGACTAAACCTCATATCCGCCCATGGGCGTGAAGCATCTCTCAAAAAAGAGGGGCATTGGCTTTGAGTTTTGATTTCAAGACCGCATGGTTTAGCAGTTTCATCTTGAAATGGAGCTGCCCGAATACTTGGAGCATCTTGGAACTGTTCAAGTCCTGGACCTGTTGTGTTTACTCCAGTAGCTTCTTTCCGTAATGCCAAGCGGGAGCTGCATCTGTTAGAGACGTGAAGCTGTGTTCATGGAAATATTCTGAACTGCGGAGCAACCGACAAACTTGGAGCCCTCTGAAGGCTGCTCTTATTTCATTGCTTACCACTCGAAATGGCTTTGTTTGCATTGTTGAGTCTCTGGCCATGTTGAGCCAACTTCGGCGGCTAAGTGTTGCTACAACTGTCAATTGTTGGCCCTCCTGGAGACAATCGCTCAGAAGTAGTCTGTATTAAGCCAACAGTTTTTGTAGGATGGGTAACAAACTGGTGTTGCAGAGACGACATACAATCGTCAAGCCTTACTTGGGGTGTCGGCAGGGCGGCTCTCCTTGTTTACTACTGTCTTGGTGCTTCTTCACAATCAACCCGTGAGCTCATGATGAGCCTTTGCTATGCAGAGTCGTTCAGATGGATATCGCGCACCCATGCTTTGCTGCCAGAGACTTTCGCACTTCTGCCAGGCTCTATTGGCAGCGAGGAGATAGTCGCCGGATCTCCGCGCCAGTTCAACCTATGGAGCACATACACCCGCCCCTCTGGCATTCTTGGCATGTCTGTCGGGTTTAAGGGTCAGGGTTTAGGGTTGACAGGGGAATTGGCACGTTGGGGAAACCACACTGCCTGTCTATCAACGGACTCCTAGGCTGGAGCCTGGAAAAATCAGGCATAGACTGGAAGACACACATTGCCTCTGCACCATCGTCCGCCTTAAATCTTTTTTCAAACCGAAGACCAAAAAGGGTATTGGTGGCCCAGGAGCCCATGACTTTGCCATGCACATGCGGGAGGAAGAGGAGGAGGAGAACATAGATCTAAGTGAAGGCCCGACAATTGGGAGTCTTGTCAGCCTTTGCACGTCCTAGAGTCCTGGAGACACTTCTTTCGGAATGTTACGGCTCGTGGTGGCTCTTGCAGCACAAGCTCATGTAAAGCTAGGTCAGTGGACGTTGTTGCAAGGCCTGGACGAGTTTGCCAGAGAGCTGGAGCAAGAGAAGAAGATACGATCTGAAACAACAACGTCGAAATGGGTCTTAAGCCCGAACTCGCCAAAGCGGATCTGTTGGGACTTGGTCGGTGTGCTCGTCTTGCTCTACGACTTAATCATGATCCCTCTTTACACAGCTTTCCCGCTTCAAGACAACGCCTTTCTGTCCATGATGACGGGGGTCACGTTGGCTTTCTGGACTATGGACATCCTCGCCTGCTTTTGCGTCGGGTACTACGCGAAAGACGGGACATTGGTTGTAAGCCTGGCAAGGATTGCAAGGCAGCACCTTGGATGAGATTTCCTGACAGGTCACATGTTTGCCGGGGAAGGGGTCTGCAAGCTGATCTGTGACTTGAGCGTTCTAGGTGGCGTGGCTTTTGATGTGCGTGCTGCATCTCATACTGTGCGAAACCTGTTAGTGACGAATTCGCTTCACCTTCGCGCACTGAACGAACTGCGACGACTGCCTTGTGGCAACCGCAACAACCCCTCCCATCAACCATACCTGACAAGAGCGTAATCTGGAGAGACACTGTGTCGATTGACAACAATTTGACACGACTTCGGTATAACGCCAAGGCCGCGAATGTCCTTGCGGAGTGTTCCGAAGACCCGAAAAGTCTGGAAGCTCGTGGGCCGGTAGGCTCTGATTCCTCAAGCCACCCTTGTACCCATTGGACCCTTTCCATCAAGGTATTTATTGAGCTGGTTTCCGCTGGACGTGGTCATAGCGGCTCGGCAGACTAGGGGTTTCCATGACTTAAAGCTTTGGGATGTTGAGGGCTGTTGGAACGTCTGAATTTCTGAGCCCATACTGCCCCTGGTACCCCGCAAGTGTCCCCCAACCCAGGAAGCTGGGCGGAGAGAAACCCTCACCATTCCGCACCCCAAGAAAGTACACCTTCGTCTGAGTGGGACGTAAATATACCGGACAAGTAGGGGTTTGGACGTTTGCTTTTACGCCAAAACTACAAAGTCACCGGTCACCTGCACTGCAGGTGAGCATTGATTGGATCATCGTCCTTGCCCTTGTCACGGAGGAAGAGGGCAAGAGTGCTTGGCCTTATCTGATCTAGGCTAGGAGCCGCCATGGTGCCCTGTTTCCTTGTTTTAGGGTTAAGTGTTAGGGTTCCCTTTTGAAACCGAACCCGCTAGTCAAAGCCCTCACATACCCAGGTCTCAGGCCAAAGTGGCGGGTCCTGAGCGCCTAAATGCGGAAGAAGCTTCGGCACCCTTAAAGTCCTCCGCGTTCTGTGCGCTTGACCCTGGACATCACATCCCTCAACCCCTACAGCCATACGATTTAGGAGTTCAGGCTTCAGGGTTCAAAGTGCTTTCAAAAAACACGAGGGGGTCTACAGAATCAACCTCGGCCTGAAGCAAGGTGCAGGCCTCATGCGAGCGGGGAAGATGCTGCGCGCCCTCCGAGTGCTTCGGACGCTGCGGCTTCTGCGCTTCTCGGCCTTTGAGATCCCCGGTCCAGGGCCGAGGCACTAAGGTTTTCAAAGGTAAGGGGGAAAAAAGGGGTCCCCGTTCAAGGGCCCATACTAACTAAGGGACCATGCAACTACCCTAAGACCAAAAGTCTCCGAAGCTTGCCATGAACTTTGAGGAGGATTTGAGGTCATAGAGCTTAGGCCCTCAGCCCCACAATCAAAGCCGTGAGACCTACTTGAGAGTCTCCCGAGATTTCGGGAAAGCGTATTCCGGTCTTGCCATAGCCGGTGGTGTGGAGGCAAGTAGGAAGTAGGGGCGGCTTGAGGGGTGTCAACCCCAACCCCATGAACTAGGGTTCCCTTCTTTGTTTGGGCACATATGTGAGTACAATCTCATGGCATCTATGATACCTGTATAGTTTATAGGGTGCCAAAGCCTTGAAACAGATGAGTCCCCACTCCCTCAACACTGCAGGCTTGGCCAAGCTCCGACAGCTCCTGTGGCTCGGGCCTGGCACCTTAAGCCATCAAACACTTGAGGGGGTTTATGGGGTGCAGGGTTTAGGCAAAAAAAGGGCCTCGGGGTTTAGGGTTTAGGGTTTGGGGTTTTGGGTTTTGGAATTAGCTCGTTTCATCAGAGCCGGATGGTCAATCCTACCAGCATCACCCCACTCTCTCACGTCAATTTGACTCGAGAAGGCAAACCTTGAACCCTTAACACCTAGCCTTGTACCCACACCGGGTTTCCAAAACCCCGTATCCGTCGACAAGCCGACCTGACAAGGAAAACGGAGCATGAATCCTGAAACGCCACGTTGCGTGTCGTAACGGCGTGCTTGCCAGAGGCTAGCAGTGACTTAAAGATTCTGGAGCGCGGCACCCGGAGCAAGATTCAACAATGCACTTACTCTGCGCCGTCGGGCGGCTGTAGAACCCCATCCGGGATGATACCAGGCACACAGCTACCAAGGTCAGGCAATAAAGGGATAGTGAAACATAGTGAAACACAGTGAAACATAGTGAAACACTCACATGGCAAAGGTCCAACAGCTTTTGTAGGAGGTGCAGAGCGAAGCACGGCACAACTGCCCCAGGAACAAGCTGCAAGAAGCTTGGCGTGCACAGAGTTTTGACCCACATTTTAGGGCCCCAGGGTTTTAGGGTTTCAGAGTGAGAGTTGATGAACTCGGCTCTCTGGCGTGGGCCTCAGACCAGGCGCGGATCCTCCAAACCCTTTTCAAATAAAGCAAAGAGGTTGCAGACCCTAAGCCCATTTGTGTGGACCCCATGCTCCCAAACCTGAAACGAGCTCAGAACCGTGAATGTGTCTGTCGATCGTCTTTTTGTCCACCTTGTTCCGGCCCCGTCGGCTACCTAGTGTGTTGTAGCCTTCAGCCAATGCCTCCGAGGATCAGGTCGACTCGGAGCACGTCTCCGTGTGCCTGCGAAGAATTCAGCACACCTGGATGTCTTCGATGTTCTTAGGAAGTTTCTCCGCCTCCTTCATGTCCTTCATCCTTTAGACCAGTCTGAGCCCCATAAACATCTATGAACATCTACAAGCCCTTAACCAGCTTGAGCCAGCGCATTCGGGGAGACACGGCGCGGCAGTTGCCAGACAGGTTGCTGGACATCGTCAAGCTGCTGATCGCCATCATCTTCATCAACCACTTCATTGCTTGTGCCTGGCACCTCTGGCAGCCTGGAGCGCCATGCACTTTTTAGGATTTCTAAGGGTTGGCGCATCTCAAGCCATTAAGGTACCTTGTGGGCTGCAACCCCCCGGGGAATGAGAGCTCCTGGCTCATCGCGGAATTTTCCGTCCTCACCTGCGACGACCCTAACGACGAGTTCCTGCTCTACAAGTGCCACTGTCAGGGGGTGGGAAGGGCGCGTGTTGTGTACTTGCGCTCCTCAACTCTGACTCACTGATGTGATCAAGCCAATCAAGAACTCCAACGCCCTGTTTCTATGGCTGCAGGTACACAACCGCCATGCACTGGTCTCTGACGCAGTTCACGCCGGCGTCCATGGGGGTCCAGCCCCAAAACACTTTCGAGAGGAGCCCGTTCTGTGATGTCGGCTTTGTTGATTCGCAGGATCTGCAGGCAGTCAAGTTGAGATGTTCAGGACCTGTAGCCCTCCACTTCCAATGCTTCATACATAGGAATGCTACAACAAAAGCAATGGGAGGAGCTTTGCCATTGGCGTCCTGCTTTTTGCCCTCCTGGTCTTTTCTTCTTTCGTCGCGAGCCTCACAGGCGCCACAACCAGCTTCTGGGCCGTTTGAGACGCTCTTGTCTTACAGGGTCGTCAGGTCCAATGTCAAGGTGTATGCTGAATTATATTCTATATTTAGGAACCAAATGGACGGTCTCTGACAACAGCCAGTGAGGCTTGCGAAAGATGACTGGCCGGCATTCTTCTCAACTCTGGCTGCTGCGGAAGTTCCTGCGACAACGCGGAATTACGCTGGATCTGCAGGTTCGCATCAACCGGTGCCTTGAAAGCAATGTTGTGATCATCTTCTTGTAAAACAGGGGGGATGCATTCTTCTGGAGGTAGAGCCGAAACGGCTTAAACACGCACATGAGGCAAGACCATCCAAGATCGGCTGAGGTACATCAACGTGGTCTTAACGATGACGCAACGCTACGTGCAGTACAGCGCGGGGAGCTTACAACTTGCCAGCGCTTTGCTGTAAAGCACAGGTCCTGCTGAGTGGATTCGCGGGGGGGTACGTCTCTGCTGTAAGACCCTCCCAACACGCCCAAGTCCCCCGAGCATGCTAGCTCATGCTATAGCTACTGCCACGCCCATCCAATCTCGTGGCGCAGCACTTAGCAACTCAGGACGTTCACCTCTTTGGCCATCTTTCTGGTCCCCTGCACAATGAGCTGCAAACGGAGCTCAACAAGCCCGCTGCCTAGGGTTTGGCCTCAATGTCGGCCTGTAGCATCCTTACATGTCCTTACACTCCTTGCACCTCAACACCCTATAGTGTTGTGGATGAATGTGGACTCTGGGTCCCATTTCAATGGCAAGCGCTGGACCCCAAGACTTCTGGCTGGTTCCTTGTGGCCTGCTGTGCGCGAGCGTGAGCGAAACCCTGATTAACGGCCCCAAAGCTTTTGCCGCCACTGTGCGAGAGTGGGAAGCGAAACCCAAATGAAACTCCAGCCAAGTTCATAGCCTGAGGCCTCGCTTGGTTATCCATCCTTTCTTCGTGAACATGCCGCGTGGCCTGAACTCCAGAACCTCTTTCGGAAATCCCGTGGACTAAATGCCCAAAACCCCCCGAGCCCACATGTTCGGCTTACTCCCTGAGCTCCAAGCCCTTGATTTCAAGTCACTTAACCTTTAAGCGCCCATAGCCCCACAGTACCCTACCCCATCGCCTTTCAAAAGCCCCCCCGCCCCACCCTGAACCCTTCAACCCTGAAGTCTAGCGACCTATGTGTTGAGCCCGAAAGTCCTGCAGTTCCCCTCTCTCTGAACTGGAGATGTTGGACAGGTCGCGCTGAGTCCGAATCCATACAAGGGCACACTTGTGACCCGAACGAAACTTGCAGAACAGCGACTTGAACTCTTGAACTTCCGATCGCCCTTAGGCTGGAACATCTGCACCTTGCCCACATCCCAAGCAGCAGGATCCTTAAACCAAGCCTTTCCAGCCGATTTAAAGTTTCATTCCTCATTGATCCGAGGCTGGATAAGTTCGAAGCGTTGATGCGCAAGGCACCGGCGTTTGCGGGTTTCACAGGCAGGTTGACAGCTTCACGGGGCTTATAAGAGGCAATTGGGGTTTGAAGTCTTCAAGTTGCCTAGGACTGTGAGCTTCAAGAACCCTGGCCTCAAGCACCCCAAAGTATGTCCTGGAATGGGGTTAGATATACACCGCCGCCTCTACTACGACTAGCCTGGGAACCCCAAGGCTACGCACTCCTCCCCCCTGCTAGACACAGCCTGAGCAGCTGACTTTGTAGTGCGGGGTTTAGGCACCATAAACCCTCCTAAACTATTATCAGCTAGGCGGGTGGCAAAACAAAAAGCCTACTCCGGTCAAAAGGATTCTTCTGCAGATTTCCACAAGCAGGGGATTGCTGCCAAGAGCCATCAAGACTCCTTCAAGTCCTGAAACTCCGAAAGCCTACAACCCCAAAGCCTTGGAAATCCCCAACCCGAAAGCTTGAGCTCAGCAGGTCTGCTGCAGTGTGCCAGTGGAGATGGCGCTCTCACGGGGCGACGTGCTCTTCTCCGGCGGTGAGGAAGCACACAGCATGTGACGCGGCACTGTTCAGGGTTGACAGGGTTTACCGTAGGCCTGTTGGATTCGGATGTAGTGACTCCAAGCCAATGGTTCCAGCGTTCCGGTTGAAAGCGACCTGTCAGGGCTCATCTCCATTAGGGCAAGTGTTAGTATGCACTCTTTTCGATGCAGCACCAAGGGCAGAGTTCGATGAATGAGCATGTTAAGGCATGAAGGCTGCTTCGCGTCATTACGATTTGAGGCATGTTTGGAGCATTGATGAGTGTCACCAGCTTCTCTGATTCTCTGAGGTACTTCCTTTGCTCAGGCAGCCTGGAATAGCATTTAATGGCTTATCGGCGTCAGCCGTATGCAGTGCCGGCCCAGGGAACAAGAAAGGACTAGAAGAACCCTTCCTCGAACTGCCAGCGGGTCCACTTTAAACAAACGTGCCTTATCCCAAAGGGCTCCGCCCTAGGTTGCTAGGGTTTAGACAAACCACTCCCCGAAGTACCTAGTGAGCTCAACCCTACCCTTCCTTTCGCTCCAGACTTCATGATTCCAATACCCTTGAACCTTCTGGATTAGTTTCTGTGCGTCATGCACGGGAGCGAAAAAAAACCAAACCTTACGCCCTGCATTCGCCCCATCTGTGCACGGGGGAAAGACCTTGCCCCGCCCCCCCCCCCCCCCCAAGAATCCATTCAAGCGTCCTTTTTTTTTTTTTTGGGGGGGGGGGGGGGGGGGGGGGGGGCTTTGGCTTGGCTCTTGGAGGCTGCTCCGAGACTTGAGGGCTTATGGACTGCATGCAATCTCCAAGGGAGACCTGGCGGTCTGTAGCGGAGCCGAGCCTGGGGAGTTGGGATGTTCCCCCTTGTACTAACAGTCCTGAATAGGGATTGATAGGTACTAGAATTAATTCCTACTATGGACTGTTAGTATAAGGGGGAACATCCAAACTCGGGAGCTGCAGCAATCTCAGCCTGAGATCTGGCTGTCTAAAGCTCTCTGAGCAGCTGGTTTCTGGCCAACTCTGAAGAAACAGCTTCTCAGCAAATAGATTCTACAGCACTGCAGCCAAAATGTGAGACTCTAGGCCAGACAAATATTACGCTTGTCACCCCATGATAATTGTCACCGAGCCGCTTGCATAGGCGAGTGTAGGGATTCGGGCCCGAAGCCTTCTGATAATGGAACGTGCTCTTGGACCGCACCCCCCAAGGGCCGGCCGAATGTTACAACTACCACCCCATGCACTCATGTTACTATGGTTTCGTGGGTCTATAACGCCTAAGGGACATCCCCTGAACCCTAAACCCTCCAAACCCTTAAGATCCCAAACTCTTCGCCGTAATCAGGGGACGGGGACTACTGGCACGTGGAGTCGAAAACCTTCAGCAACCTCGGCGCAGACCAGCCGCCTGGCTGACCCACTGTGCAAAACTAGCCAGGCCCTTGGGACATTTTGAATTTTCCTTCATTGGGTATAAGAGGATCATATTCAGGAACATTCTCTGAAGGTTTAAGGGCCATTCTAGAAAAGGGTACCTAGGGGCAGTGAGGGTTAAGTTGGGTAGTTAAGGGTACTTCGGGGCTTTAGGATTTCAAGACCCAAATTGCCTTTCCGGCGCAGGGTCTTCACAGAAGTGCACGACGCCGCGAGCTCCCAAACTTAAAGCCTCCAGCTTTATCGGGTGCATTGGGCTTATGGGGATGCGCTTCATGTGTGAGTCTCGTCAAGAGCATGTGTCCCAGAAGCGGTGCCCCAAATTATGAACCCCGAAATCCTAACGCTCTGAAGTACAGGGGGCCTTTCAGCACCCACCTTACTAAGCCTTGGGGATGGCATGGCAGAGAGAGAGAGCCGGAGACAGAGAGAGAGAGAGAGAGAGAGAGCACCCTGCCCCCATGCCCCCAAGAAAGAAAGAAAGAAAGAGAGAACCCTGTAAACCCTAAGCTTGCAACTGAGGTGGTTTTGTGAATCCGTCCTTTGGACCCCCTGGGTTCATCAAGGCCGCGCACGTGCAAAGACGCCGGGCTTGGAGTTTGGAGTCTGGAGAAGCTTTGGTTTAGGAAGTTTGGGGTTTAGGGTGTCTCTTGTGTATTTGTGTTTGGAGAAAGGAGGGGATGAGGTTGGGGGTTTAGGATTTAAGGGCGCGGAGGATGGGGGGGTCTGGTCTGGGCTGATTTTCTAAGCCCATTCATCACCTCCGATCACGAACAACGAAGAACCTCCCCTGAAGCATACCTCAACGCTGCACATGTCAGGGACCGAGGTACCCGAAACACCGGTCGAACAAACCCCCTGAACAGCGAACTACCCGTAACGTACCCCTGCATATAGATACATGTGTGTATATATATATACAGACACATACATGTCTTGTTACTTGCCTTCAAAAGGACCCAAGAAGTTTTTCTGGTCGTCAGTGCAAAGGTCCCCAGCTAGATGTAGATGGAGACACACCACTTGCGTTAGCTTGTCTTATGTTTCTTGATCTCTTTCTTCTTCTGCTTGTTGGTGTCCCTCCACATGATTTGGGATGTTCCCCCCCTCATACTAACAGTCCTTAATAGGGATTATAGTACCCCCAATATTCTAATCCCGACTCAGGACTGTTGTTTTGGAGGACATCCCTCCACATGATCGTATGGTCTTGACTCGAACCAACCGAAGCCTTGCCTGCCTTGTGCGAAAATTGAGCTGTCGAAACCTCGAAAAGCTCCCAGGAGTGAAACGGAGCTTCTGGCCCTCAGCAGCTCCAAGTTCCGCGACGTCTTGTCCGAGTACCCGAAGCACATGGCCTTCATGAGGAGTGGGAGTGTAGGGTTTACAAAGGGCTGTTGGGGTTTCGGGCTGTGAGGGGGTTCCTGGGGAAATGGAGGGTTTTGGGGCTTCCAGATTAATTCAGGAGCGTGCCCTTTTCCGGGAGGTGGGGGGAGGGGGGGGGGGGTCCTACGACGAGGATGAAAGATGCTTAGGGGATACAGAAAGGGCCACCATGGGCCCCGTCTTCGGCGGAACGCCTGTAGGTTGTGTGAATCTTCTGGGGGTTATTCGCCCTCACAAGAAGCACAATCTGAGACCTCAACCCGATCCCCGGAGACCAGTGCTGCGGATAGCTTGTGACGTCATCGACATGTTCACGCCACCATCCGGCCGCCAACGAAGACTAGGGGCTGCAATCTCAAAGAAAGCCGAAGGCCACAGATGAGGGAACTCTGGAGCTCTGGAGCTCCGGAGCATGGAAACCCTGCAAAAGCCTCCCTGAAGCCTTGAGCCACGCATCAAACGGCCCTCGAGTACCTGAAAGTCAAGCCTCCTCTCACTCGGAAATCTTCTCGGGTTGATGGGCTACCGCTAGTTTGACGGTCGAAGCCCTGGACGGTGGATTTCCTCTCGGTCTCGTTCGAACACACCCGCCTCTAGACCGACATGGGTTGGATCGGACATCTCATAGCGACTCTCTCTTCCAGGGCATGTGCGCAATTCAGCTCAGCAAACCCCTTTGGACAAAAACAAAGCAGCCACCACGGTCCCTGAACCAGCATCTTGCCTAGGTAGGCCCTTTTGACGTTTTATGTTTTCCCTTATTGGGTTTAAGAGGGTCATATTCAGGAATATTTTTCAGAGTGTTTTAAGGGCCATCCTAGTTGCTTTTGTGCCAGGATGTATGGCCAGGTTTTCCTGGGCCAGCTCCAAGACCGGTTTGATGGCAATCAACTTCTGTGCCCCGACGTGCTGATTCGCTTTGAGTGTAAAGCCTGAACTCCATGGGTTTAGGTTTTTGGGTTTTGGGTTTTGGGTTTTGGGTTTTGGGTTTTGGGTTTTGGGTTTTGGGCAGATCCTCCCCCCCTATGAAGATCGAAGCCTGGGTGACTCAGTGACAGAAATGTTTCTCCAGGATAGCTTCGCAAGCTTAGGTGAGGTTGCAGGTGGTGGTTAACTTGGGCCATGTGCTGATGCTTTCTGCCCATGACTTCGACAAGTGGCCGGGGGGTCATGCTTTGAGTTTCAGAGTGGTTTCTGGCAAGCGCTTGCGAAACAGGCTGTCCGATTGAGGTTTGCCAGTTGAGCTGCCTTTTTTTAGGTGCTCGCGTAAGCTACTTGATAGCGGACATGTTTCATTCCCGCAGAAGGGCCGAAGAGGTAACAAAGATTGCGCGGAAGGGTCTGTGGAAGGCGTGGCGTTCGCGGAAGGGTTGCGGAAGCTCCGCGGAAGACAACGGTCGTTTGGAAGCCCAGAGCCCATGCCTCTCCCGTTTCTATGTTTCCCAACCCAATCCGTAAATTCTCATATACCTGTACCTGTACCATTACACCCCTAACCCCTGACCCTTGACGCTTCCCCCCAAGGCGCTTGACCCTCAACCCTAACACCTCATAGCAGCATTTCTACCCCGCATTGCTTTGGCCAGTCGGGTGGCAAAAAAAACACCTAAGGGGTATATACTGAGGTTGCTGATCTGTGCTTAGCCGGTGGAATCCTGCCCGACAGGGACGTCCGCGCTTGTGTAAACAGGCAGAAGTGAGCTTTGCGTCGGAGTACTGTCGTTTGGCGCCAAGGACCGACCTTGACATGGATCTTTCGGCACCTCAGACAGCAAGATACCGGACTTGACCGCGTTTTTGGGGTACCCTAAACCCCCCTAAAAACTCAAAAGGTTTTACCGGTGCATCAAGCTATAGCCATATTAGGGGTTTACGATAATGAACAAAACCCTTAATGTAAACCCTCAAAATAGTAGGACCCCAATCAGGTACCCCGAATATCGTCAACCCCCATAGATGCCCGAGACCCCAAGTTGTGGGAGGAGACCTTCAGGAAAGGTGATCTGTGACTCAAGGGGGGTTTTCACAAGCTGTCGCAATGCCCAACTTTCGATTACATAGCTGGATACACGAGTTTGGGGTGTGGACCATGACAAAATTAGCTTGATGAGCTGCCGCATGAGTCATAGATCCGAGATCCTCATCGTGAGAATTGGGAATGCCAAGCACATTTTGCTAGCTTCCTTCCCGTATTCTGCGAACTGGAAATGCTAAGGAACATTTTACAAGCTCAATGTTGTGCACCTCTTTAGGTGTCCCCTGCCACCCGCACCAGATTATCAGCGACGATTTATGTTGAAGGCGTGCCACGGCCACCCGAACTGCCGGCTTCTGTCTAAGCCCTTCTTGACGTGCTTCCAGGCAGTTCCGGCAGCCCCTCAAACAGCAAGAGAAAGCCCCAAACCCTAAAATTCGCAGCAAAAACGGCCCAGGTGAGCGTCACAACAACCGACTTCTTGCAGCTCGAGCTAGCACCTTGCCTTGTCTAAGCAGCACACTGAGCCCATAAGGTTGGCGTGTGAACAACCCCACGACAGCTAGAGGCATGTTATTCAAATAAGTGCACTGCCTTGGAATCATTCACATCACCCTCCCAATTGTTCTCATATTCATTGCCTCAAGTTGCCGTGCTTGGCCTGTTTCTCAAGCACGAAACGGTGCTTCAATGTGTTCTTGCTGTTTTACAGTTCTGCATCTTTCTCGAGCATGTTCTATCCATTTCTGACATTGTTTGACTGCAGATAGGCCTTTTGGGGGCGGTTTATGAAAGGTGCGGCTGAGCGTGTTTTTCAGAGTTTGCTGGCCACTTGAAAACTTCGAACTCAGAGTCCCTAAGTCCCTCAGCTTTCCCAAATCTGGCCTTCAGGGCCTTCGGGGGTTCAAGCAAAAGGGGCAGTTTACACTTAAGAGCACCGACTCTTGAGCCGAATGCCAGGATGTGGAGTCTGAGAGCCCTTCACTCCGGGATGACCAGAAATCCACCGTCAGTGGGGCACCTTGGCGCGGGCCAAGGCCCTCAAGAAGCCAACTCTGAACGGACTCAAGGGGCTGCATCTTTACAGGGCCTAACAGGGTACTCTTAGTTTGCTGAGCGTACCCTAAACCCTAAACCCTCAACCCTAAAGTGAAAAAAAAAAAAAAAAAACACCCTTAGGGTTGCCGAGTCTAGGATCTCGGGCTCCTCTGGAGCGGCAGAGTTGCTAGGAGCACGGGGGGGTGGGTGGAAAAGGCCACTTCAGGTCCCCAACCCCGACAACACTTTGGCCTTGCTGCAACCATTAGGGTCTAGGGTTTGGGGTTTGGGGTTTAGGCGGAGCACAAGCCCGAACTGCGGGGGCCTTTGGATGGAAGTTAGTTACGGCCAAAGCTGTTCCTTGTGTGCAGTCCCTACCATACCCTACAGTGGTAGATATTATCTATATGTAAACGTATAAAGGCAGATATGTGCATGTAGGGACCCACTCCGCCCACTCCGCCATTCCCCAATAAGCAACGAAGGCTCCAAGCGCCCTAGGATAGACCCTCCCTACTCGCCCGGCTCTCATTAAACAGAATACGTATCTTGGAAATCTTCTATTCAATATCATGTTACACGAAATTGTTGATTCGAAAGCCGATTTTCAAGAAAGTTTCGACCTTCAACAGAACGAAACAGTTTGTCAACAAGACCTCATACAGTTGACATTCAAGCAGAAATATTCTACTGAAGCCTCAGCACTGTGGAGCAATGAAGCAGAGTGAAGCCTCTCAGAGTCGCCCAAGACCTGGTTGCAAGAAGGGCAAGAGGGGCTAGATCGCAGCGCGCCCACGCCCGCGCGGGCTTCTGGGCCCGCGAAACGCGAAACTGTCGTCGCTTTTGGACGTCCGGGCTCGCGAAAGGTTTCACTTCTGGACTCTGGGCTCACATGGTGTCTCTGTTTGGGGTCTACGCTGGCGTAGTACGTGATAGTTTATTATTCATGTCTATTGTATATTCTACATACGTTGTCCTGCATCCTGCGCCTAGACTTCCTCCTTCTGGCCGGCTCGGTCCCAGTCACATCAGACGGTGGCTTCGTCGCCACAGGCCGAGAGCCCTCAAAGTCAGAAACCTAATTCGCCCTAGTTGGGTGTAGGGGCTAGGCTAAACGTTAAAATTATCAGGGTTTAGGGATGCAGGTTCACAAGCGTCGCGTGGAGGCCATGCTAATCCCTTCCCCCTAATATTAAACGGGGGGGCCACCCCCCCCCCCCCCCCCCCGCCCCCTTTTAAAATTCGAAAGCTGTTTTTATGATTAGGGGGTATTCTTATCGAAATGTCATAAGGACTCTAACCTCTAAACCCTTAACCTAGACCCCCAACCCTGAACCCTCTGAGGGTTTTATTGGTGTTGAGGGGTTTATTGGAGGCCTGAACCACCCCCCTAATTCGGAATTGGGTTTAAAAGGCGGGGTCGGTTTCGGCAGGATTTTCCGGAAAGTGTTTTTATCATTAGGGGTGCATTTAATAAAAGGGGGAAGGGATTAAAAGCTTGCAGGGTTGGAGTTCTGAAAGTGTGCCGGCCTTGGGGGAGGTAGTAGAGCGGCCTAAAGGATTCCCAGGATCATCCACATGTTATCCCCAAAAAAACTGTTTAAATGACGATTTTGTCTTAGAACGACTCGGCAGTAG